CCCCCAAAGCAGTATCTTATTAAAACATAAGATCGCAGGTCCCGGTTCAGCCTCTGGCACTTGGCTCATTGTTATCGATATGACATGATTTTTTCCCATCTGGAATGTGGGACAGAATGCAGAGCATTCATATAAGAATGCTAATATGTATTTCAATCCTACTGGCTCTGTCACAGTTCAGTAGAGGGGGACCTTATTCATCTTGATATTCTGTGTAATATCATAATAGTTCACTTTACTGATGTTGATCAGTAAAGTTAATTAAGTTGACACAGTGAAAATGAAAGTACTCCTGATAGATACCCTGGCAAGATGCATGAGCACCATAGCCTGTGAGATAAGTCCTACAGCATATAAAGGTTTTTTCGTCTTTATGAAGTTTTCGGAAACTTAATGGTTTGACAATGCAGCTATAGCCCCTTTAAGGTAAAGGAAAGTTATTGTACTTTGGACTTTTTATGTGCACACGCACACACAAAATTAACATACCCTACACCCCATATGCCTAACACATACACAAAAGGAAGAGCAGAAATGAACCTCTTTGGATTTTGGAACAGATATATGATACTTCAGAATATCTGACTCATTTATTAGGTAAATGGTAAGGGTACATGATCAGAGGAGGGGTTTCAGAAGCAGATCCAGGCTTTAGTGTAAGATACTATCTGTCTTTTTCATAAACAGATTATCATACTTGCCTGGGTGTACTCCTGGGTTCTTGTCTGTTCCACTGATCTATGTGTCTGATTTTATGCTAGTACCATACTGTTTTGGTTATGGTTGTTTGTAACATAGTTTGAAACCAGTGCACATATTTCCACCTTTATTCTTCCTCAAGTTTGTTTTGACTATCCCCACATGTGTTTTCCTTTGAGAAGTCACTGGATCCCCCACTCCTGCTTAGTCTATACCAGAAGGCAGATTTTTACTTTCCTCCTGATGGGGAGGAGCAATGAATTAAGCCTTATGACACTGGCTTTTATAACAGAGAAAAGATTGGACCTAGGATATCAACACTCCATTATGTACCATGTGTGTCTGAAAGAGCATGTATGTTGCTCTTACCTGGTCCCATTTTGTAGATTTTCTTATTGCAGAGTATTTTTAAGACATCAACATGATGTCTTACTATCCCAGTTGTCACACTTCGAGAGAAGTAAAGAGAGCAGTAGTTCATGAAGAAATAGTTTTCTTTTGGAAAAACTGCAATAAATGGAGTGAGTCAGGCAGTGCCTGGTGGGTGTCAGGGGCCTGTGATCTGGCTGGTCATGTGCTACTACGTCATCTGTTCCGGCACATTCTTCCTAGAGACCTTAGACAGATCTGTCACACAGCACTGAGTACACATTGCATCTTCTGTCATAGAATCAAAGCCCAATAGCAGATACATTAGGTAAAGGGGCCATGGTTAGGACCAAAAGGCAAAAATCTGTGGTATTTTCTCTGCTTCCTGAGGCAGATTCCATGCTGCTCTGGTTCTCTTTAGGTTTGGCACTGAGGTTGTGAATTTCTTACCTCCAACGGGGAGAGAGAGAGTCTACTGAAAAAATATTGATGCTAAAGTCTTGGGAAACCAGGAGTGGTTAGGACTCTGGCTTCACCACACCAGAATGGGCTGTCCTGGGGAGCACCTGGCTTGGTGGTGACAAGGCCACTTTCAGTCCCCCAGAGCCCCCGATTCTAGGAACTGTGGCCAGTGTCCTTTGCAGTGACTTTTCAGATTCAGAAACAAAAAGTCAAAGAGCATCAGCTGACCAAATATAGACATTGGCTTGTCTTTGTTGCCACTTAGAGGAAAATGTGAGAGAAGTTCCCCCAAATGTAGGATCATTTAGAAAACTCTCTGGGGTCAGTGTAGAGGCTCCTCTCCTCCCCTCTCCCCTCAACTTCTGCAGGAAGTTCAGGAAGTCAAGGGCATATGGTCGACTTGTATCCTGATTTAACTTTTCTTGACTGAAAATGGAGAAAAATCAGCACGTACAGTTACACTACGTTATACTACGTGCTCAATACTGCTCTCCGAGGTGACACACTCAGAACCTCAGCCATGGAGACGTGAGGAGATGGAGAGCAGTTTCTTCCATCCACACGTAGGTGGTGTTTCGTGCTAGATTGGATTAGGAGTAGGGTTGAAAATGGCAACAGAGCTCATGGATGGGTGAAAGTTCCTATGTGTGTGGGCACTTTCCTGGAAGTTAACCTCCAGTTAACTTCATTACCGTAATAACTGAAAATTTACTCAGTGGATTTATTTTTGGAATGAGAAGACTTATTCTTGCAAAAAGCTCATAAGGTAGAGACAACGCATATGTATTTTAGAGACAATACATATGTATTTTATTACTTAAAGATTTATTTATTATTTATGCATATAAAACTGGGGTATTGGCCAGAGGTGATGGGGGTGAAAGGATTCACCAGAGACAGAGTGGGAACAGAATAGGTAGGCTGACTGAGATACACTGCTGAGGGGAGCAGCAGGCGAAACTGGAGAGGTCTGCAGCACCATTGGGTCAGCTCCCTGGCTGGGAATTGAACTCTTGCTGCAGTGGCTGCCAATATCTTGACAGTGCTGAGACTTTAAGGCCTGTGCCACCAGGGGCACCCAACATTTCTGATTTTTAGTTGTTCATTCTCCCAATAGCCACTAAAGCTGAAAGGCTTGTCCTGACTCTGTGCTCTTCCCCTCCGCAAGCCGATGGCTGCTGTGTCCTCACGAAGTGCTTCATTGCTCCCACAGAGATTTCTTTACATATGAGATGAGCATTGGTTACTGTACCCCTTTATCCCTCTGTCAAGAGGCCCCCCATGACAAGCTGTGCATTTCTGCTTGTACTGTGAAGAGCTCACCACAGTTACTTATTTCTACATCCAGTCTGGGGTGCCTGCAAGCAGCATTGTGTCATATGGTGAGTGTTCTCTGTGGCGGTGTGGGCGGTGTGAAAGATCCATTAAAGGAAGAAACCATGGAGCACAGGGCGGGGGTGGGGTCTTAAGTAGGGGGGATTGGCACAGCAATGGTGGGTGACTGTCAAAGATGTGAGCGCGGGGTCGGTGCTGGGCTTTCCTGGGTGCTAACACTAGCCAGTCAGCTGCCGCAAATACACCGCACTCATGCATCCTGGAAATAACAGGCCTGTGTGCTGGGGAAAGAGGGAAGCAGGGCAAGTGGGAACCTGCACTTTCCAGTTTGTCTGTAAACCTGAACATGCTCTAAAAACCAGGAAGCCCGCTCTTTTAAGGAACAACAGCAACAGGTAAGTCAAAATAACTTATATGAGATGGTCTTAAAATGAGCATACAGTAAGCAAAGAAGGCCAGATTTAGCTAGTGGAGAACAAGGGAGTATATTGGCTGTTTATTCAGGCTTTGGGACGCATCAGGGAAGATACAGACAGGGACTTGGCTGCGCTTCTCCATCTTCCTAACATTCTGCCTTGACTTTCTTTGTGAGGCCAGCAGCGCCCAGCCTCCCAGGCTTGCCACAGTGGGAAGGGCTCTTACTTTCTTTAGCTCTTTTGGGAAAACTCTCCAGAGGATACTGGGGGCCTAGCTTGGGGATGTGAACATCTTTCAGCCACTGAAAGGGTTTGAGGGGCACTCTCAACGTAGAGGGTTTGTTCGCAAGGCTGCAAATAAACAGGCACAGTATTAGTTATCCCGGCAAGGGATGGTGGTGGCTCAGAAAAGGGAGGCAGAACTGGGGAGAGAAGGGGTTCTGGAAGCATTCTGAAGAGAAAGGGCTGTCAGGGTGTCTCGAGGTTTGGGCATAAGACATAAGAAGAGAAAATGGAAAATGACATTTACATTTTGTCCTGGTAACTCAGAGGATGGAGCCATCTTAATCTGAGCTGTGACAGTTAACTGTATATAACTTGATGGGCCTTTGGGGGCTGCTGAGAGAGCTGGTAAACCATTTTTGGGTGTGTCTGTGAGGGTATTTTGGGAAGAGATTGTCACAGATTATTTACACTGAATACAGCAGATTTACCCTCAGCAATGTCCTGGCATCATCCTAACCAAAGGCTCAGAAGAGAACAAAGGCAGAGGACAGGGAATTCTCTATGTCTCTCCTGAGCTGGCTCCTCCGTCTTCCACGGTCCTGGGACTTTGGCACTTGCGGTTCTAATGCCTTTGGCCTGTGGGACTTAACACCAGTGAGCAAGTCCTGGGTCTCTGGTTTTGGCCTCAGCTTGGGGGCCACATCATTACGGACCCTTGCAGAGATTGGATGATGTCATGGCTCTCCTGGTTCCCCAGCTTGCAGGTAAGCTCAGGGCACATGTCAGTCTCTACCGCCGCATGAGGTAGTGTCGTGAGAAATCTCTCATGTCTGCATGAGCCCTTCGGTGTTGTCTTTTCTGGAGACTACCATATAAGCTGAGGAATGACAGGGCAGCTCAGTGAGGAGGACATCAACTTAGCTTTCGCTGTAGCTCTCCACGTGGGGTGTCAAGTCAACATTGGAGACAGGACTCTCTTCCTCTAGTTTTCCTCCTGGCATAGTATTTATGAACTGGTTGTCCAAAGCCTTCTTCTAGAATGCAAGTTCTGTGACTTTGCCTGAATTGTTCACTGTTATATCCTCAGCACCTTAAAGAACCACTAGGACATAGTAGATGCTCAATACATTTCACTGGAAAGATGAAGGAAGGAATGAACAAGCGTTCGGTGTGATGAAGTAGGTTGAGAACAGGGCACATTTAGGAAGCATCTATCTGAAAGTATAATTACCTACCTAGTGTTATTGGGGCGAGGTCTGCAATAAGCATTTTTTTTCCAAATTTTTTTTTAATATAATAGTTTTTTTTTTTACATCATTTTGTACATTTTTTTCATCTCAATTGTAATCCCCATGGGTTTCCCATCACCGAGTCACCCGTGTGCCATCACCATAGTCCTGTGCACTTCCCTACCCCCTCCCCCCCTTTGAGTCCATCCCCCACTCCACCCCCCACAAAATGTCTCTGGTATATGGCTATTTGTTATTCTTATTATTTTCTCGCCTGGTCCATTATACTCCTGCTATGCTGCAATAAGCATTTTATAACAAACATTTTTTCTGAAGAACTCTGTACAAATGAAGAGGTGTTTGAAGGCTTCTGTAAACTTTTATTTTATACTTATGGACCACTGCTAATGCAGGGTCTTGGCTTTTGGCTCATTTCTACAGATGACTTGAAAAGATAAAGGTAGAAACTGGCAACATTCCTACTGGTAAACACGGCTACTTTACTGGTCCATAAACAAAATGCACGTTGAAGCCTGTGTGGTTATTCAGAAATCTATGACTTCCTGAACCTAAAAAAGACATTTTTTTTCCATATGCAAGAGACAAAGCACCTTAAAAAAAAAGACAATTGTCTAAACAAAATGGTTTGAACCATTTTTTTTATAGGCATTTATCACTAGATATGAGGCACAGAGGAGTAATGAAAGGTGATTGCTAGCACAGAAAGGAACAGTATTTCTTAGCCCAACAATCAGGGCAACTGGACCTCAAATCATTGCTCACTTGACTGTGCTAAAATATGGCCCAATAGATCATTTCATCAGCATGTTGAGTTGAGCCCTGGGACGATATAATTCTTCAACCTTTATGACTTCTGCTCCAGCACAGGACAAAAAAATACAACCCAACCATACGAGATGATAAATCATGCATTGTATAAAAATGAAGAATGATGTAAAATATATAGAAAATAAAAAATTACAACCCAATACTGCTTTACTCATCCAGCTGTGATCCCCACCATTAACCATGACTGTCTTCTTTCATGCTGCCTCCCGTATTCCATTTGTGAAGGTCACATAGTCACACATTTTAAACACAGTAAGATTAAAACCACAGAGTCACCTAGATGCCACTCAGAGTGTGTGCTTTGGCACAACTACAGGCATTATTTTTAGATTATCGTAAGCCCACACATACCAGCACACACATACACATATCATACACACAGATGCATTCCAGAGGGACCAGCACAGGAAAACTGGCAGAAAGAATGTACAATTGTTTATATTTATATATACACAGTAAAAGAGCTTTTTCTGCTCTACTCGCAGTCTGTAAACATCTTGGAAAATGCCCAACAAGACTTGTGGGCCCGTTGAAATGGTGACCATGTGAGGGGTGGGTGAGGGGCTGTGTTCATACTGGAACCCCAGAGAAATGAAGCATCATAAATCCATAGGGGCATGATTTGGGGGGTAAATACACTCAGCTCACCACTTTGAAATTTCCTCTCTGGCAAAGGGAATGACTGAAAAAGTCTTATTGCTCATTAACACTCACAAAGAAATCAAGAGGATGCAGTGATAGGTGTAAAATATATGTGCACACACATGCCCACAGTCCACACACACATGTTTACACAAATATGTAGCTGTGCATGCATACAGGGAAATATGCATGTGCATATAGATACCTGTTACCACTATTAAAAAAACTGCATTTTTTCCAACTCTTCTAACATCACTCAATCTGTTTCTCTTAGGTGTGCTTTAGACTTCCATGCATTGCAGAGACTCAAAGTCTCGGGCATAATTAAATGATACATAAATTTAAATCTTGGTACATGATATTAATATTACATTAAAAAGTTACATTAACAAGACCGGGCCTGTGAAAAACAGAACTGTTTGGTTCAAGCATTAATTTTAAATTTAACATCAAAACATGAAGTAACATGAAGAAAAGAAAGTACAGGTTCTGGAAAATTCTTTACAGAGCAGCTACTGAACTGCCAGATGTGGTTATCAATCTGAACTTTTAAGTGCTTGTGTTTGTTGCAGCTTAAAAATGTACGTTTTAAAAGTAAAATAGTGGCATGAGAAACATTAGTCTGAATACATTTTCACTTTTTTCGTTTGCAAAATATATATATAAATAACCTCACTCATTTAAAGGCCACTTTGCACTTTGAGAACATTGGCACTGAGTGGCATTTCAAATCAAGGTGACTTCATCTCAGTCTGTGATTGAAAAGCTGGTCATGCACTTGACAGGTGGTTTTCATGCAAAAGTTATAAATACCCTTTTGTCGATTTATCAGTCTCCTTCCCGAGAGTCCCACCATTTTTCAGTGCTAAAGGGAACACGTGGAGTGTGCAACCAGAGAAATCAAAGAAGGAAGGTCCCCGGGATCGCAGGTGTGCCCGGTCGCCCCTCCAACATTTGGGAAAACATTTGTCCTGGGGTCAGACCGGGTGACGGGGGGAGAAGGCTGCGTGAAGACTTCTCCGGTGACACTGTAGCTGTGTGATCTTCTTCTCCGACGGGACTGGGTGGATGATGGATCTGGGTCCCCGAGGCTCTCTAGTTGATGCTGTCCTTGTGACTGCTCCGCTCTGTGTTGTGGTTGTTCTGCTCGTGGTTCTTCCACTGGATGCTTGTACCATTCATGGGCACCGAGGTCATCAGACTTTTGGGCTGGTAGCAGCAGCAGCAGAGGCAAGACTGGGGGGAAGCACAGACTGTAAGCACGTGAGCCTAGAGACCTCTCCCAGCCTAGCAGAGGCTGGGGTTCCCCTGTGGTGAAGGTGTACACACCCCACAATCCAGAGGAAGCCTGGGCCTCTGGGGTGAAACTAAGCTGACCTTCCAGGGCAGAGAACCCAGCCCTCGTGTCTCATTTTAAAGTATTCACTGAGCAGAGGGGCAGGAAGCAGTGTTGTTGCTGGGGGAGAGGATGATTTGGGGGACACAGGTGGACGAGGGCTGGGGGCTGGCGTTCCTCCAGGGCGTGCCATTGTGTGTACCTCTTCCGATGCTCACAACAGCCTCGAGGGCAGGGGTCATTTCCCCACCTTGGGAACCAGGGCAGAGAGGCCCAGAGCTGGAAGCAACTGGAAACAGAAGGCAGAACTGGAATTGAAACTCGGAGCTCTTTCTCCCGGGCATGCTGCCTTTTTAAAAGAGCAGTGAACATATGCATTTAGTGTTTGAGTTTGTACCTCGATTTTCCCTCCCCCTCCTGTCAGTAAGTAACTTAATCGCGAGTGATGTCAACCCCAGCTTAGATAATGTTAATTACGGCCTGTATGCCAGGCTGTCTTACTTAAGCAGAGCATTTCTTGATTTGTAAACATTAAGTGGATTTCAAACATGAATTTGTACTGGGGGCTTATTATTGCTTTAAGCTTTATCATATATTAACCTGCTGAAGCCTGCTACTCTTAGTATCTGATTTGACCACTGAGCAAACTGAGGAAGCAGGAGGGCCCTCCACCCCCTTCCTCCCCGCCCCCCCCCCAGACTAGGCTTGACAGTTAGCAAGGGCAGAGCTGGGGTGCACCAGGACCACTGTCTCCCAGGCCTGCACCCTTGACCTATGTGCTATGCTTCCTAACGTGCACCATGAAGTAAACTTAAACATCCTGGCCAAAGATAACAGAATCCAGTGAGAATTAACCGTCTGCTATAGTCCTTCTGCGAAGCGGAAACAGTTTAAGAAGAAGAGTATGGGCTTCTGGAGGATGTGTGCTAGCTTAGCTGCAGGGAAGTTCCGGGGAACAGAAGGAACCTGACTTCAAATGGAGTTCCAGTGGTTCAGGCTTCCAGAACAAGACATGTGCTTTTCTTGACGAGTCTCTTATTAAATATGCAATTAAACAGCATTAGGCAAGAGATTTCATAGCAACACTGTCCATGTTAGGTTGAGGCTCTGGTTAAGTCTGAAGTCAGTGTGAGGCATGAATAGACTGTCTGTACCCTCTGGGGCCCGGACCTCACATCTGAACCTTTCTTTTTAAGGCAGAACTAACATGGGCATGTTTATTAAGTTAGCTCTTTTTATTTCAACCACTGAATATGTTGTTTCCTCAGTAGGTGTTGCTTTTCTGTAATGCTGACAATCTGACCTTCCTTCTGGATAACAGAATAGGATTTTCATTTCTCTATTGACACATACAGCTAAAGAAAGAATATTTACAAGTAACTATAGAAAGAATGTTTACAAACTGGGTACTTCATACACTTATTTAGTGGGCTTTAAAAATACTTGCAGAACAGTCTTACCTGGAAACAGTTTTTAAACTTCTTGCTCACAAAATACAGAGCTATCGGGTTTATGCACGAATTCATGGTGGCCAGGTTAATGCTAATGTAATCCAGGAGCAGCAGGAAACTAGAAAGAAAAAAGGAACAGAGGCGAATCATTAGAAAATCAGGTTTTGAAATATGCTAACTAGCATTTCTCCCTAGAATAAGCATTTTTTTTTTTTTTTTTTTTTTGCCAGGAGCCATTTCTTCTAGACGGCAGTCAGATTTATTTCTCTAAGGTGCTTGTTTAAGTAAATGGCAGTTGCAGTTCTGAAGAACATTTCCAGATTATGTCTGCCACTCGGTCGGGTCTAACCTGAACGCACGGCCTCAGGAGGGGAGCGGCCAGGTTACAGGCACGGTTCACACATACCTTGGGACTGGTGACGAGCAATGTCAGCTAATGAAAAATAATCAAGTTTGCAGTTTTAATTTTCAGGGCTAATGAGAAGGTAACTAGCTGGCTTGGTAGAAGGACTACGCGTGTGAGAAATGAGAGAAACCGCAATTTTATTGATGGGTACACAGGATCGTACCTAAGTAATTCACATCGGTTCTTGTCCATCTCATCATACACAGTTTTCTTCAAAATACGGCTTAAATGTAGAGGGAACCAGCAAAGAGCAAAAATGACAACCAAGCAGAAAACCGTTTTTGCTACTTCTCGACGCTGAAAAGAAAGAAGAAAAAAAGTAAGTTTAGTACGTTTAGGGCTTTGCTACCCCAGAAGGAAACAGTAGCTGAGGAAGAAGTTGAAGCCAGCACAGCTGCTTTTAATGCTTCACTCCTTCAATATCTGGAGTCCGACTGTCTAACTAAGGAGTTGCTAAGGAGCTTTTGGTTTTGCAGTGTAACTGACATGTAGCCTCAGAAGTGCGACATGAAGAAAGGTTCAGTATTTGTCCACATGGTGAAAGGACTGGGCATCTCCTAGGGGTTATTGTGGCTAGGACAGAGTTTCAGTGGCTGGACGGAGGTGAACACTGGTGGCTTTGTGTCAAGCCTGGCCGAGTCTGAGTGAGCTGTGGCGTGCATGTGTGTGAAAAGATGAGCTAAAAGCTGCTGCAACAGGTACCTACCTATCATGGGGGTGCCAGGGCAGCCAGATGCCTGAGCCCAGCATGATAGAGGCTGGACAAAGTTGCAAGACATTTGCACAACAAGAACAAAAATAGGACAAAGAAAAGACAAAACAATGTGAGGTCAGGTGTTCCTCCATCTGCGATCTTAAAGAAAGCTAGTGTTGAGACGTTTTGCTTTTAAAATTCTTTTGTTAATGACATGCCATTTGCAAAGATATATTGCTTACAGATAGGCATGTGGGTGAAGGATTATCAGCAATGATGATTAGAAAACCTGGGGCATGCTGACCTGGGACTGACTTCCAAGGAAGGTTTCCATGCTTTTGAATCTGCACAGAATCAGACAAACCATAGGTTAGAGAAGGTCTGCAGCCAGTTCCGTGTGTGTGTTGTGTTTGATGTTGCAGCACATGTGCTTGGAAGCCTAACTAGGAAGTAAAATGCAACTTGTCTGTAACTGCAATCAGTTCATGTCAAAATAAACCTGATTGAAAGCAGGGTTTGGAAGGGTATTTCAACTCGAAGCAATAGTCATCATGTGTGGGAACCCTGCGGTACAGACACATGATTAATAGAGCTATTGAAAAGGAATTCAGGACGGTTGTCATAAATTGCTACTTGGATCCAAAGAACTGGGAGTTCTTTAATCTTTCAGAGTTACTGGCTCAGCTGGGGTATGACTTCAGAGCATACATAAGCTGGACGATGATGGAGGGAAATAAAGGAAGGATTTAGAAAGGAGGGGACCTTCCTTTATTTTTATTTTACATTAGATCATTTTCAGTAGACGTAAAGCTGGTTTGCAATATTGCACGTGGCCTAGGGTTCTCCCCTCGTCAATTGCATGTCACCACACTGCACCCATCACCAAAGCACCCACTGGCCTGCACCACAGACCCCCCCCGACCTCCGTCCTAGCCCTCATCCTCTGATAGCTTCGCTTCAGATTCCTGAGGGTTTATTTTGGTTCAGTTTTGTCTGTTCCTTTGTTTTGTTTCTTTATATTACACATCTGGTATTTGTCTTTCGCCTTATTTCTTTTGCTTAGCATAAACTGGGAGTTCATTTTAAAGGGCCACTTTCTGCATCCAGAAAGACAGTGTGTGCAGACAAGGAGAAACAGAGTTATTGGGAGAAAGGCTATCCCCCTTAGCACATCCTTGAGAAGAATAACCCTTTTTAAAAGTAATAGTAATGAAAATGTATTTGCTTAGCCGGGGCTTAGTCTTCCCTTCTCCCTGCTATTAATAAGATCCTTGGTTCTGTGATGGTGTCAAGGAGGCTGCGTAGCCAGGCGATACAGTTCTAACCAACCAGGTGAAGTAGAAATCGCCGGGCGTGATTTCTGGACACGCCACTTTGGGTGCAACCGCACGAAGGTGAGCTTTCGGCTCCCTGGCTTGTCTGGAAAGCAGCGTGTGTGCACAGCTGGGTGCCTGGTAACCCCAGGAGAGCTCAGTGAAACTACAGAGCTGGGGCCTTGGGTGTCTGCACCCCCGAACCAGTAACATCTGGATTTATTACTATGGGAGAATGATGAGCCCCCTGCATGGTCTACTCCGTGTTATTTTGCATTTTTCTGCTGCCTGTACCCAAACATAATCACCGAGAGATAAAAGCGGTCGGTATAAAAATGAAGAGCAATTTGGAAAAAGGCACGCAGATAGAAAGGGCATGAGTCCTCTGGGATGTTATACAAGAGGGTGGGGCTTTTCTCTTGATGCACCCACAGCCCCCCTGAAGGCCATCCAGCCTGATTGCTTCCTGCTGTTAGACCCTGAACTGCCTTGAGTGTGAGGTGAGGGGGTGACTGCTGCCTGAGCTCAGGCCTTGGGCTCCAGTCTCCGGGTGGCGGGGCCAAATTTAACATTCTTCAGAAATTCACAAATGCCGTGTAAATCCTGTTGTGTTTGCTCCATCCCTGTCCACATCCTTCCCAGGTAGCTTTGACTGGGAGCTCCAGTGGGCTCACTCATGGTGCTCATGCAAAATCAACCTTGCAGAGACTGTTTCCCACAAATCTATCCCAGTGAATTTCCTGCGTGACAGGAATGAGGTAAAAATTACAAAATATGTCTCACATCTGGAACACCTGAAATACTCAGACCCAAGCTAAGTTACCCTCAGTATAATGTTCCTGTTAAATTTCAATGGAAGATAATAGCTGCTGCGGGGATAATGTGGTGGACCTTGCAAAGCTCGTGCTGACATAGTCGTCCCTTTGATTTCCATCATCGCAGTACGATGCCCAATTTACAAATGAGGAGCTGAAGCTCAGATAGATCACTGTGGTTGCTGGAAAGAGATACTGCTGCTTGTGAGGTAATTACATGGGGTGGATTTAAGACTCCACCAACCACTCATGTTAACTTGTGGTGTGGTTGGGTGTCCTCTGTTGAGACAGAACTTACCTGCAATACAAGTTTTACTCTTTGACTTCGTATATATGTGTGTATATATATATATCTCAACCGTTTCTGAGTAATCTTTTGAGCTGGGTTCTTATGGGCGTTAGCTCATCCCCTTGGTATATTATTATATACCTTTTATGAGGAAGTAGAAATTCAGAAAGATCAAGCCACTGGCCCAGTGTCACAGAGCAGCAGGAATAAGCATCCGCTTTGCCCTATAAACGCGCAGCTCCATCTGCTCTGCCTGTCACCTGTCCAGCTCTGTCTGCTCTGCCTGTCACCTGTCTGGCTCCGTCTGCTCTGCCTGTCACCTGTCCGGTTCCGTCTGCTCTGCCTGTCACCTGTCCTGTTTGTGGCCTTCATCTGTTCTGTTGGGGAAAACCAACAGCAGTGGTCCACTGACATGTTCAGATTCCTTCCAGTTTTTGGACCCTTCAAAATAGACTTATCTGCACAATTTCCTGTAATGCGCCTTACCTTAGACAGTGCTGTAGTGAGCTTCTTTGACTTTTCCTATTCCCCAACTGCATTGCCCCCAACCCATAGCCTAGCTTCCTGTCCGCCCACCTGGAATACCTCTTCCCATTCCTCCCTACCCAATCCACTCATCCCCCATGAATATGGGAGAACATTTCTGCAGGAAATGTCTTGTATGCACCTCGGCTTTCTACAGCATAGACTACTGAACCTATTGTGGCCCTCTTTTCCAGTTATTTCATGTGTTTTATTTCCACAAGACTGCTGCACCAGGTAGGGCCGGAAGTCACACACTTCTGTCTTGTCACACACCCAAGCCCAGCTCAGTGTACAGACACACATGTGTTCAATATGTTGTTGGCCAAAGAAATGAGCATTTCCATTTGGGTCGGGCCTTTAGGGTAACCTGGCTCACAGAGGTGGACTCCTGTTTCACAAGTGGAATTCCTCCTACTACACCTATAAGGAGAATAGCTAGGAGGCCTTGTTTTCCTTTGTAGGTGGCCAGGCTAAGGACAAAGCCCTCTGGAGCAAAGCAGCTTTGCAGGATCGGGTTACCTGTTTAAGGAGCTCGCTGAGGGCGATTCTCAGGCTGCCATTCCTTCTGTTGAGCATCTCGCAAGTCATGAGGGTGTAGAAGATGGCAGTGCACACCAGGGGCATGCAGAAGTAGAACCCGAAGAGCCACCAGTCCTTCACATCTTGGTAGAACTTGGGGAGCAAAAGACAGGCTTTAGAATGTACGACAGTCTGGCGGTGTCTCGGGGAGCCTAAGGTGTGTCTCGGGGAGCCTAAGGTCTATATGTTTCATGCTCCGTGTGCCAGCCCATACTTGCCAGCTGTGGCGATAGGCTTGGGGGACAGTGCTCAGAGCTCCATGAAACTGGACAGAAATTCTCCCGGCTTTAATGGCACATGAGAAATGGCATTAAAAAATTATCTTGATTTGGTGTCACTTATACAAGGGGCCTGATAAGGTCCCTCCAGAGCTACCTTTAGAAAGTTGATAGTAGAACTGAAGCGACAAGAGGGGGAGGAGGGAGGGAGAGGGGCTGTGGGGGAGGGGAAGGGGAAAGAGCAAAGTGGGGAGGGAATATAGGGAGTGGAGGAATGTGGCTGTCTGGGTGATGGGGGCAGTGTGGCGACAACACATGGTTGGTGGGGGGCAGAATCCTAAACTTTGGATGCACAGACAACAATGTAAAGAATGTGACCTCAATCGAAAAGAAAAAGAATTATCCTGATAAAGGCCTTTTTGATAAACCGAAGTTGCTTTTAATGATACCATAGAAGAACCCTAATCAATAAAAAGGATTCTCTTCCAATGTTCATAATTGTGGGATTATTATTATTATTATTTGAGACATACAAGAGATATATTTACTGGTGAGTCTCAGAATTTTGACTGGCTTGCTGTTGACTGTTGCTGTTAAAGTTCTCAGGAGAACAAGTTGGTGAGAAACAGCAAAGGCTGTGACTGGCTCTCGGGGCCGGGGCTGGCCTGGACCTCTCCCTGGCAGGCCTGTGGTGTGGCCCACCCAGCCAGGCCGCTCAGTCAGCACCCACAGCCCTGCCTTTAATACCTTCCACCTGGAGACCTTCAGGCCCTTATCTGAAGGCCCCTTTCACTTTATCTCTTGTGAGCAGGGTTTGTAAATACTACCATTACTCAGTTTTGTGTTTTAAAGGAGAGAAGTTAATACCCCATGAAAAGGGAAATTGGACCCTGTTTCTAAATTCTTCCTCCCACCAACTCACCAAGTTGGGAAGAAATGCTTTCCCTTTCCTTACTGTGCTTCTCCCGTTTGTTTATTTATGAAGGATGATGCAGCCCCTTTGATAGCTCAGTTCCCACAGTAAAATATACCCCCCTGCCGCTCAGTTTCTGAATATAGAAGGAGGCCCAGTGGGCTACATCTGTAGATGTCTGTTAAAATAGTCTATAAATGGCTCCTGGGGACAGAAGTTCTGGGCAGGGGGCCTTAGCTATTTTTATGCCATGTGTCCACTAAGAAGTCTGGTGGACTATAATCCCTTCTGGGGATATGCTTTCTCTGTGTGTAAAGTAATAGATAAGATCACTTCAAAACAGAGCTATCAAAATATAAATAAAATTCTGGTTGAGAAACATGTGCTTATTAACAAATAAAATGGCAAATCTGATGGGAGCTGTAATGATCAGAATGAGGAAGCGATGATGAGTGTAAACACTAGCAATATTTTAAGTTTATGCCACTGCTATGTGGTATGAAAATGTCTGCTGTCTTGATTAGTGAAAAAACAAGTGGGGACCCATTCTTTAAATAGTACAGTGACTTGTTGCCTGTATTCATAATGGAAGGAAGCAATACATTTCTATTAGAAGTTAGTGTAAAGAAGTAGTTTATTTTCGCCATCCAAGTTCAGAGCCCCCTGAATTCTGTCTTCAGTTTAAGTTGGCTTGTTCAGATCTGTTCACATTAAAATCTCCCATCCATATCATACTGTAGAGAGGTTCAGTCCTGAATTAAGAAAAAAATTAAGATGGACTCTTTTTTTTCCTTCAAGTGGGACACAGCAGGTTTTGGACCCTCCCTCTGCTGCCCCCATGATGGGCTGGTGTGTGAGCCCCAGAAGCAGCTGCAGGGGTCTGGAAGTTGACCCCAAAATAGTCCCCTGCCTCCTCTTTGACAGTTGCCTGTAGGCAAAGGGTCACACATTTCTTTTCAATGATGTCACCAGCAGGGGTATGCAGGGAACCCCCTTCAATCTAGGTTAGAACAAAGCTGAGTAGTAAAGAATGGGGATAGCAAAGGGGGAAAGAAAATTAGAAAGAACCGGAGGAGAGAGAGATTGTTGACGCTGTGGAATGAGACCTAAAATAATTATCGGTTCAAACTCAGACTGTTCACAGAGCCCCGGGATGTGTCCACCTTCTATACAGGAGTCTCAGCCGCTGTCCCCCAAGATGCTTCACATGGCCCAGCTCGAATGACTAGTGAGCACGTCTTTATGTCGGGCCTCTTTTCGCTGAGGTTTTAGCAAGGAATATCTAGATTGCTTATTCACAAGTCCCCAATTCTGATAACCTTTTACTGTCTACTTTGTTTTTCACTTTGGAGAGAGACTTCATGTAAAAAACCAGTAGATAAATACAAAACCTGGATTTTCAGGCTGCCCATTTGGCAGTTTTTATAAACATTTTAAATTTTAAAACAAGAATTTCCAAGTTGGATAGCTGGTCAACTGTAAAAACCACTAATTTTATGAATTTTCCACGTTCTGAAAAAATACCTTGTGATGTCTGTAACTGATTAAAGCTGCAATCCAAGCAGCATGAAACTTAATCAAAGCACTAAATTATGCTGATTTAAGAGAAATAGTTATCCTTTTGCTCCCCACCCCAGTCCACATGTGGCTAGTTTTGCAAAGAAATATGCATTTTAAATATGTTTCCAATATACTCAGCCATGTGATTAAGCTTTTTGGAGAAAATGAATCAGGTCAGGTGTATTAAGCAACTGAATTTGTAAACTAAAACACACATAACATTTATGTTATTTGTAGATTAAATAGAGTATAACCATTTTGTAAAGCATCCTGGGACCCCTAGCATTTTGTAGACCCTGGGATCTCAGCCTAACAAAAAAACAAAGACATCTTCACAATCTTCATCCTATTCGCAGGAATCTGTTGCCTAAAGGCAGAGTCGGCTTTTTCAGATTAAAAAGAAACAAAGATTTAACAATAGGTATTCAGCCTTTGCATCTCTGCAGAGCATTTATTAGCAAGGAATAAAATTTAATGGTGCATTGCTTCTTCTAGCATGAGTGTCTTTAAGGCCACAGTAGAATTAGAAGTCCCTCCTCTGAAGAATAAAACATTTTCAATGTTAGTGACTCACTGTTCTTACCTATGTAAACGAAATTCAAGCTGCGTTTATTGGAACAACTCATAGAATAAAACTGGCTGGACTGCTTCCCAGGCTCCAACCCTTATCTTGATTAACTGTCAGTAGTAAACTCTTTGTCTAACTATTGTTTATTTTTCAGTTAACAGAACCCATGCTAATATAAGTACATTTTTGTATGACTTCCTTTGAATTCACAAAAACATGAACCATGTCCACTTTCCCAAGTAACAAATATCAGCTTGCCTGTCCGAGAGCAATTATTGTGCCGTATTCTAAAAACAAATAGCGCTAGATACATGTGCTTCACCTGTGTCAATTGTTTCAGAACTAGTGAATTTTTTGTGCCTTTCAGCTAGTTATGTTGGAATATAAGAATCAGAACAAAACAGCTGTTTTATTTTGTAGCGATAGCAACAGGTCTGTGTCTTGGCGGACCACAGTGAAGACTTCCTCCCTGCCCGGTTAGTGCCCTTTGAACTCTTGTACCTTCATGAATTTCGATGTGGCATTGAGCATACAGGTCTTGTGCTGCACACCCCTGTATTCGAAGGGCACCATGACGAAGCCGATGGCCTCCGGGATGGCCAGGACGAAGGACAGGATCCAGATGGAGACGATCTCGATGGCAGTGATCAAGGGGATCCCGATCCCCTGAACACGACTCCAGGAAGCTACTGCTCTGTACCTGAAAAAAAAAGAAAAGAAAGGAAATGTAAAGTCCATTCCAATGAAATGTAAATAAGAAATGCAGGAAAGTTCCTTCTCCTGGCTAGTGACTGACTACTGGCTTTTTAGGAACGTTCCAAAAGTACTAGTGTCAAAAACAAGTGGGCTACTAAGAGTTCTAATTTGGACATGGATTACCTCACAAGTCTGAGAGATTTGGGGTCTAGCAAAATCTTGTGAGAATTTAGAATGTGGCAGCATCAGGAAGGTGCCCCTGTGTTTTGGAGGGGAGAAAACGTAGATGAGGAGAGGGATCTAGAAAAGCTGCTGCTGCTTTCTCTGGTAATGAGTTATTTCTTTACACACTGAGGAAAACACTTGCATCTTATCAATGAAATGGATCTAGAGACTGTCATGTGACTACTGGCCCCGGAGAAGTCATCATTTTCTCCCTCTACAAAATATGATCACAGTGGGCTTGTAAAATATGGCAGTTTTAGTAAGTAAATAATATTTCTGGTACACATGATGGGATGACCATGTCTTTCCCTTTACTGTCTTGTGCTAGGGTGTATAAAACTGAGTGAAAGACACCTTGCTTCCTAATCCTTTGGATTTACAGTCCAATGGAAAAGAATTGTTCATCTGGAAGTAATAAGGTAGTAATCTAACTGAACAATTATTTCTATCAAAAAACAATTGCTAAGCAATTGTGATTACATATTTTCACTTATTTCTTTTGATATTTTGGTGATTATAATCACATCTGAATGTTAAATCTAAGAAAGGTTTCGTTTCAGAAACTTTGTTCTTGGACGGTCTGGTGTTAACTGGTCCTAGACTTATTGTTAAGAAAGGCTCTGTGCTATGATATTTTTGTGGCTTCATTCTTGAAGTTTTTGTTGCTGTTGTAATGGAAAATAAACATTCTCTTTATAGCTTTTATTAGTGCCAGAAGAAGGCTGTAAAACAGACTAAAGCATTGAAGACAGGTGTTTGTGGGTTTGCAGGACTTGTGACTTACTGTGGAAGATTAGTCAGTAAAACTTAGCAAGCTCCAAGCTACCCATTTCCTACAAGATGAGCTCTTATCACTTATATTTAGTGTTATGTCTCAGGTTATCTACAGGGTATATCAGAAAAAACACAGCTCCTAGGAATTATGCTCCCAAGTTCTATACTGAAGTGGCCTGTAGATTAGAACCTATAGATTTGGTAAGCACAATGAAAGTATATGATAAATACAAAGCGAGTTCACTGGAGAAATGTTTTGCAAAATATTTTTAGGGTAAGACTAGTGCACAAGAAGATTCTCTAAAAAAAGTCCACATTAGTTCAGAATGGAATAAAATCAAGAAAATCCTTTTACAACATAGCCAAGATTGCATTTTAAAATTTATGTTTAATCCCAGTGGGGTAAAGCCTGCTATTTATTTTGCTTTCTGCTTCTGTTTACTTTTCTGTTTAGCTTTATTAGACTGGCTCCTGATATCCAGTAAAAGGTAAAGGGAATGGAGCCTGGATGTCTGTATCCCAGACTATCAGTGAGTTTCATCTGTCTTCTCTCCTCTTAAATCAGTTATCAGGAAAGGTGATTTAAATAAAACACTTTATCTCTAAAGAGGTAAGAGGCCAGATTTCTTAGGCAAGATTCGTGAGAGAAGGTGGTTGAAATAAGAAAATGTGGTCGCCATGTTCTCATGATGAGTATTTTGTGCCATGAGTTCTCAGAATATTGTAGGTCTATAATCCAGGCTAGAGCCAACATTTAACAGCCATACAAGTAGTTTTTAGTGTCCAGGTTAGCAAATGATTCATAATCAGTTTGCTTCTTCATTAACCCCCATGGCTGAGAGTTATAATAATGCCCATTTGTAATCACTTTAGTCTTGATACCTTGTCTATGGGAAGGAAAAAACATCATAAGAGCAATTAAAAAGAATCATGTGTGATGACAGGGGTGGGAACAGGTGTGGGGAATAAGAAGCATTAGATATTACAAAAATGATTTCTATTTGGAACATAATGTATTAATACTCATATGCACACACAAATATGTTCTCCTCATTAGGTGTGGTAATCACCAGTCTTCAGGCAAGTCAGTGTTTTTATCTATCTGTGTCCAACATCTTCCTTGTCACAGGAAATCTGCACACGCAGATGCAGCCAGAAGCTGATACGCCTGAAACAATCCCTCCTCTCTGGGATGCTGCGTTCACTTGGCTTCATTGCCCTCTCCTGGTTTCATTGCCTTGCATCCACTCCCTGGCTGGGTTGGGCCCACTCCTCAAATCCTTCGTGTTTGGTTTTTCTGTAGTTTTGGATGGCTTTTCTATCTAAACTCTCTAGTGACCTTGTCCGTCTCGAGGCTTCAGTAGCAGTTCAGTTGTGCATATGCTGTTAGTTCTCAAATGCACGAGCTGGCCTACACCCTCCCTTGTAACTCTAAGCTTGTACATGCAGCTGCCTACTTGAACTATCCACTTGGGTATCTGAGAGGCACTCAAGCTCATCCCAGTTAGTCCTGGTTTTCTTCCTTGATCCCAGCCTTTCCTGTCTCCACTCAACCACTTAGGCCTAAAATCTTGAAGGTAAAGTGCATCCCCCCTTTTCTCTTCTACCACAATCCAACCCTTGCGCAAACCTTGCAACCTCTTCCTTCCAATGGCAGTTACCCAATGCAGCCACTTCCCCTGTCTCACCTGTTCCCATTCTGCCTGGGCCATTGCCAGCGCTTCTTCCCACAGGTCTCCCAGTGCCCTCTCTGCCCTCCCTCAGTCTGTCCTGAATACAGTGACCATAGAGAGCAGTTAAAATGTGAGTCAATCACGTGAGCCCTGTGATCAAATCCCCAAATGCTTTTCCACCCAGTGGGAATCCCAGGGTATTCCTGGAGATGCTTCATCACTTTTAGCGGTCTTTTTACAGAAGCCTTCTCTGAACACCCAATTTAGAATTCAGCCTTTTCTCCAAACTTACCTTGTCTCACTTGGATAAGTGTTTCTCCATGGTGCTGATGGTCACATGACTAATCAAAGATTTTACTTATTTACTTTGTGTATTGTCTCTGCCCACCCCTCTTTTAGACATAAGCACCACACAGCAGCTTTGTGAGTACAAAAAGCACCATGCCCGCAGCAAGAAGGTGCCAAATAATACATATATGTAGCATGAAGTGTGCTTTGTTTCCTTATCAGACTTTTCTTTTTTACTGGCCATGACCTGAACATTTTCTCATTTTCAAATCAGTCTTGAGTTAGGCAACAGATAGGTACACTCATGCTATTATAATACTAACATCAAAGATCAAGAAACCAAAAGCCAAAACCAAACTAAGAAAGCCAAAAACCAAAATCAGAAGGAAACTTGGGGCTGATCTTTCATCCCTTCTCTTCTGGTTGGGAACCTGAGGATTAGCATGGCACCCAGATCTCCGCCTGGTCTTCAGTGAACTTGGGGAGACTGGGCTGGGGCTCTGGTCTGCCAGCTCCCAGGGGAGTCTTTTCTCATGACATCACCTCGTACCCTGTCATGTGAAATGCCAAAATAAAATAAATTACAAGTTTTATTTATGTTGAAATATATATATATTTTTACTGTGTACATCTATAAATAGATTTGAAACATGTTTTCAAGACCAGAGGCATTTAATGCAAGAGTTTTCATCTTAAGGTATGGATTGGGACAATCATTGAAGTGAAAAAGATTATTATTGAATGTACTTTAAAACAGTATAAAATAAAATTTAAATTCAGATATATTACTTCAACAGAATCCATTCTTATTTCTTCTTATTCTTTGCCCATGCCTATCTTTATAAGTATAGTTTGTATGTATACATAAATATATATATATACATAAATAAATAAATAAATAAATAAATAAATATAATACTCTTAGTCATTGCAATTTTATTTTCAGCTGTATTCACTTTTATTTTAGATATTGTCATGTTTCTACATAGGCATGAAAACTTAATTAATTTATTGACTACAAAATGTGACAAGACAGTAACACATTCTAAGGTCTTCTCAGGTCACCTCCTATCCAGTGTTTCAAGGTTGTGTATAGCATGCCTATAAATATTTTTGTACATTCAGATTTTTTCTCTTTTTGAATTTTCATGTATTAATTCTTTTGAGGGGGACCAAGGAATTAAGGGAATGAAAAGCACCATAAGTACCCTAAAATAATACTTCTCAACTTAAGTGTCCAATGACAGATGAGTGGAATACTACTCAGCTGCAAAAAAGATGAAACCTTGCCATTTGCAACAACATGAATTAAAATGGAGGGGACTAAGTGAGAAGGACAAAGATTACAGTATGATTTCATTGATAAGAGGGAATATAGCACGAAAAACCCAAAGGAACAGACAAAACTAAACCAAAACAGAGTTTAGAAATCTAGTGGTAGAATTGAGCCTACCAGAAGACGAACTTGGGAGGTTGGGAGCAAAGTGGGTCATCATGGACTTTGGTGAAGGACCATGTTTGCCTGGGTGGTCAGTGTGTTGTGGTTACATATAACTAGAAAGGTGTGAACCCATACCTCTAAATGATATCTAGCATTGTAAGCCAATGACTGCAATAAAAAGAATACAATTTTAAACAGAAAGAATAAAGAAAATATTCTTCAGGAGAAAAAAAAGTTTCTACCAAGTGCCAGTTAGTGCTCTCCTACACTTGAATTTATACCGGCCAAAATGATTTAAGGACAGACCTAATCCTTCCAAGGCTCCTTTCAGGTTCTCCTCTGCACATCTTTAACGCAAAGGTGAACCCTTGTGATGCTTTATGGCTCCGGGATCTTCCTGTGATGGACAAACCACCTACCATACAAAGACTTGGAGGCAACTTTGTAGCAGGCAGGGTGGATGGAGAGAGCTGCTAATTAAAGCCTTAACACTTCTCCCATGTGGTCCCTCAGGGGGCTGGCGGTGCCTGCTTTGACAAATGAGGACAGATGTGGTGACACCTTGCCATTCTTGGGCCTGGTCTCTGAGTGGGCTTGAGCATC